CTTCCGTGATCACCGTCTCTAGTCCCCAGCTATTTGCTCCTATTCTGGTGTATTTTATTTTGTTCATACCATATATCGAATCTGAATTTTTAAACTTATTTATTCATTTACCTATAGGTTGATTACCCATCTCCCTCTCTGTTCCCTATAACGGCTGAAATTCATAGGCTGCTCAAAGCCAACATCCTAGACATATGACTGCATTTGACATTCAATAAATACTTTATATTTTACATAAAATATAAATATTTATATTTTATGTAAAATATAAATATTTTATATTTTATATAAAAGATCACAACTGTTATCTAATGTATGCAGTGGGCAAATGTTGAGAAAATAAAAATCAAAGTGATATGCATTGTAATACATAAGACATGTCACTAAGATACTATTCCAAAAAAGAAGTGATGACTTAGTAGGACTAGAAAAAATAAAAACAAAACTACAATTTACACAGTGAAACCTTGAAAGGAATTTTTAGAATTTCTGAAGAATTTCATTAGAAGTTTGAATCAAGTGTGTCTGGGTGGCTCAGTTGGTTAAGCCACTGCCTTCGCCTCAGGTCATGATCCCAGAGTCCTGGGACTGAGTTCCACATGGGGCTTCCCCTGCTCTGCAGGGGGCCTGCTTCTCCCTCTCCCTCTGGCTGTCGCTCCCCCTACTTGTGCTCTTTCCTCTGTCAAATAAATACATAAAATCTTAAAAAAAAAAAAAAAAGGAAGTTTGAACCAAAATTACTTAGTTTGCATCCTCAAAACATCAGAATGACCAATTTACACTGACATTACAGTGTAATTACATTGTGTCATTACAGAATGACACAAATGCGGATGGCCGGCCGCCGTCTAAGAAATAGCACCTTTCCACAGGGTGCCTTTGGGGAGTGCAGAGAAATGTATCTATGTTCTCTCGTGGTGACTCAACCTCATTCAAAGATTCTCAGTCTGGACCATTCTACTCAACAGAGCCCTATATTTTTCATTTTTGACTCTATATAGAGTAAAGGATCAACATCTCTAAAACTGTAATTTCTTATGAGAAGATCTGACTCCTCTCAACCACAGTTCTGTGCTACAGAAATTCAACCTGGACTTTGGACCTCTGGCTAGGAAAATAGCTTGCGGTCTTTCAGTTATCTAATCAAAAATGTTTCTTACTTTTCTGATGCTTCCCATAATTGACTTTATCTGCTATTTCATCACACACTGATAAGAACAGCATCCAAACCAGTGATTTTGAATTATTTTCATTTTCTACATTACTTTTTATTTCACAATCCCTCCACAATTCCATTCCTGCTTTTGTTTTCTTCTCTCCCTCTTCCCAAAGAGACTATTTCAAAGCTAATCTTTAATTTAGCTTTTAAAGCTAAATCTTTTCTTTTACTTTGACTAACGCTTGATGTGGACTATATTGTGTTTGACTAGCAAACCCTGACATTTTAGGAAACTGTTGTTTTATGTGCTTATTTTTATGTTAAGTCATCGTTAAGTCATAATGAGTGTTAAGTCGTTTGTAGAGAACCGTTTCTGAGTTAGACTGTTTTATATGGCAGGAGAGTTACTTCTGTGTGACTTCGGAAAAAGCGGCTTCCGGTAGGATCCACTCTCCTCTTGGGCTGGTCACTGGAGAAGAGTCATCTTCTTGGGGCTTCCTCTCACCACAGCACCCTGAAAGCTCAGGGGAAAACCTGACGCGAAATTAATTTTCCATACCAAACCCACCTATATCGTAACTTTGATTTGCATAATGGGGTTCACAATTCACTGCAGGACTTCCGTAATTCATGCATTAGTTGCTGCGTCTAATCCCTTAAACAAAGGCTGAGAACTTGGGCGGTTTGGGAGCGTTCTGTCCTTCAGTCCTCTGACAGCGAAGGAAACAAACAAGGAAGGAAAAGCGATGCAGTCTCATCGCCAGAGTTACAGGCCCAGCAGGCATCTACTGCGTATTAGCTTCACTACACATGGTGGCACTCTGCGAAGTGCTTTGTGTCCTGGCTCTGTCCTGTAACACTGGTGGCCAAATTTCCTAAGAAAGGCTCTAACTTAACAGAAATTTGCTTTACTATAGACTCACTGCAAGCTATTAAACAAGTTACCTATACTTTAAATTTATATTTTAATTTTTTTATAATTTTCACTGCTTTCTAAATTCAAGTTTAATAGTTTGAATCATTAACAAACCTTCAACAGAGTGGATATTTGTAAGCATGGCAATATTTCATACTAAATAACTGTAGATAATTTAATTTGATTCAGTTCATTTTTAGTATCAGAAAATTGGGAGATAATTTTAAGAAATGTGAAATAAATAGAGCACTTAATGTTATATTAATGTATTCCACAGCTACATAACTGAAATCAAAAATGAAAGGCAAACACATTTGTTCATAATCTCTTCAAAAACTTTTTAAAACATCAGATACTTTTTAGCAACTTAAAAATGTTGAGTCTCCTTCCTTTAAAAATCAAGTAATTAAAAAAAAATCAAGTAATTTCTATTTTTTATCTTAAAGATGTACATCATCCAGTATACCATCAACTTCAGAAATCATATAAGCCTTTAGAAACTGAAAAACTATAACACAAGTAATTTTTGAGTTAAAATAAAGAACAAATACTAAGGTATTACTATGACAAAAGAATATAATTGAAAGTTATAATTTGAGTTACTTGCATAATGATTGGTGAAGCAATAAGTTTTCTACACGTATATATTAGGTTCAAAAAAGTGGTTTAGAGAAAATGATTTCTCTTTTTTAATTGAGCCTTTTAGTTACAGCCTCTGAAGCATTTTACTGAGGCATATTCAGTACCGAGACGAACACAATGTTTATAATAATTATTAAATGACAACTTGTGCAGCTAATCCTTTTTAGTAACTGCCTATCTGAATAATTATTGTTTTTATGTAACGGACTCTACCGGTGAGACTGCTGAATAATGAGCACACACAGAGAGACTTCGTTTCATTTACACGCCAAGTGTCATGCTCACGCCCGGTGATGGCTAGCTCAGCCAAGGATCACGGGGACTGGGGCAAGTGTCATCTCTTCATTCCTCCTGACCCTTGCCATTTCTGAAGCTGACTTGGTGGCCATTTCAGATCGCCAGTGCACCTGCATAAGCCCCAACCCGACCCACCTTCTTCTGAGTTGCCCCAGTGCCAGTCCAGGGCGATGCCTGCTTTCAGGAGATAAAGAGGGGAGGACTGTTTCATCATTCATCAGCATGCCCCAGAATATTCTGCTCTCCTAAATCTACCTTGCCCCCCAACGTGGTATCTTAGTTCTCCATCTAGAGACAGAGCTTCGGGTTTGCATCCAAAACGGTAATGGATCTTACTCCTTTGCAAACACAAAGACTAAAGTAAAGCTATTATTCACATACCATGAATTCCAGAAATAACCCTTTATTAAGATTGCTTAAAAACACAACTTCCCTTCATGTATGTTTCTATTCCTAGTTTTTTCCCAGAGGATGGTTTATAGTAAGATCTTCAGCAAGACCCAGAAGGGTTTTATTCCATTTTGGGACCAAAGTTTAAAGAAGGAGTTTGAGCTGATGCTCTGTTCCTTGTGACCAGAGAGGAAAGAAAAATATCATAATCTTGATGAGAAGCAAACAGTGATGGCAGTGAAGAGAAAAAAACAAACAAACAAACAGGAAAGATATTATAATAAAGCCAGCCTCACTGTCCATAACAAAGGTACATGGGAACACAAGAACCTCACTCCCAACCTCTCCTACCTTGGCCGTATGGACACCACTATCACACCCCGTATGCCAAGCAATGAAATGCAAAGTGCTTCAGTGAGAAAGATGGAAAGGGTGAGTTGAAAAGGAAGTTCTTTGACCCATTTCCAGGGCGTACCGAATTTGAAACTCTAAGTGCAATTTCTTACAGGCGCATGGTGTATGGTCATGAACTGCTGAAACAGTGCAGAACTAGACGGACACACGTGCGTGTAAACACCTAAGCCGAGCCGCCCCAGAGTACTGACCTTCACTGCAGATACCAGACTGTTAACAAGACTGACTTTGGTTTCTTACACTGCATAGCAAGCCATCTATCTACCTATATATCTATATCTATCCGTCTCTCTCTATATAGAGACATGTAATTTTCATTGAATTAGTCTAGAAATTGAACCAACATGAACTTGCAAATAAAAACTAGAAACAAAAACTCTTTTTAAACATTTGCAAATGCTGTAATTGTGTTTCAGTTTATAGCATCATGGCATCATGCTGTAAGTTGTATAGTAAATATTTCTAAAATGCAAAATAAAATATATTGTTTACTGGAGAATATCAGTAGCAAAGATGATTCAAGAAGAAAAAAAGTTTTCTAAATATATTTTGCCAGAAAAAAATACTGTTTTAAATCCCATCTTCCTCTTCCAAAAGATTTCCTTAGCCAAAATCATGAAAGAATGGTATCATACATGGTATTGCCAAAAGGACTTTGAATCTATGATAAACCAAAAGCAAATAATGTAACTAAATATTTGAGAGCTGTCTGCAGAGACCAACACTCATTTTAGGGTCTGAAATTCAACTGTGTCACTCCCAGTGGAAACCCCTGCCATGCAATGTGGGCAAAGTCGGTCCTATTAGCTGTCCAGTGTCTATAATGAAGGTCAGTGCTCCAGGGGTGTTGGCTTAGGTCAGGAATCTAAGCTCAGTAAATAGTAAGCAGTAAGGATGTGAGAAAGACTATGTCACAAAGAGGAGAAGAACAAACTGGGGGACGGCTTCTTCTACAAAACACAAGGGAAAAGAGCAACCTGGAAGAGCAACTCTTGTCTGAGCCACCTAGGTAATTTTAATTTTGTGATTAGCATCTTTCATCTCGACCCATGTTTTAAGTAACTGATTCCAGAGTATTATAGACATCACAGAGCTGATGGAACATCACAGATGACCCAGAGATGTTGTATCACCACGAAATCTCGTTTCTAAGAAGAACATGCCCAGAGTCCATAAACTTACTGGAGATGTTGATACTTGGGTTGTTCTTAACTGGCTTTCCAAATCTTGTACTTTGTTTTTAAGTTCCATATTTTCGGTTTCTAAGTCTTGAATCTAAAAAGCAATAATTTTTGAATAACCTTCAGAAATGTATTCTTAGAAAATATTGGCTATCACATTGGCTACATTAATGAATAGGATTTCATATTATTCAAAATTTTAATGTACTCTTGTGCACAGGGGAGAAAATTATTTGATAAAGGTTGGGAAATATCAGGAAATTCTAGATCACTGGAAAGACATTTTATAAAGTTTAAGATATGTTTTTATACGTGTGCAAATTCCATGTTTCTAATACCTCATCTCTGTGTTTTCTGGTTGCACTGTGCAGTCTGTTACCCATAATCTTGGAGTATAACCGCAAGACAGTGAAACTTGCTTATGATGATTTTGAAGACAGTGGAGAAAGGGTGTAATTTAATTACAAAGGAATCTGATCTGCATGGGAAACCACTTACCCAGCATCTGCTGCTTCTGCTGCTCTGATCCCCATGAGAAGCATCAGGAAGTGAAGCAAAGTCACATGAGAACACTAAGTTCTTGTGGGAATTCAATATAAAATGGTTAAAACTGTGCAGGGGATCAGGAATGAAAAATTATAGGAACATAGTGAAAGCAGTTCCAGTCAGTGTGGGGGAAATTTAATGGCAGGCCTTCTAGATTTGTTTGATGATATGCAAGTTTCCCTGTACTTACATCACGTAAATGTGAAACAAAAAGTTTAGTTTACTCACTCTTTTCTGCAATCCTGCAATCTGTTTTCTTGTTTCCACATCTTTTCCTCCAGATTCTAGAAATTTCCTGTATGCCAGGTCAAATGCTTGGCCGATTGTTAAAGTTATTTCTTCAGCCTTTGTAAAAATCAAAGATTTGATATGTTAGACTGCTCTTTGAATCAAGAAAAACATTCACACGAGGCACTTCAAAGGGGCAGCGACTTCAGGTAGAGACGTGGTCAAGGAGTCAAGTTGTCTGTGCAAACCTAGTAACTCAATGCCTATTCATGCACAAAATTAAAAAAAAAAAAAAGGTTTTGGTAATTAAATGAGTCGCTGTTGAAGTTGGAAGCAGGAGTTCCAGCCACCTTCTCACCTACTTTATCACAGCATTTTTCCCTAGCATGTTTTCCTTCTTGCCCCACGTGTTTGCAGCCCGTTAACAGAGAGCCGGTGCCAGCCGCAGTTCTCCTGCCGCTGGGTTCCTTGTTTCCTCTTCCTGACGAGGAGGGCGGGTTAAACGGGGCAGGCAATTAGAACGAGGCTGAGAGGGTGGTGTCGTGGAAAACCTGAGGTTTGCCCTCTGGAAGCGGAATACTCAGCTCCAGTTAATGGTGGAAATGAACAATTCCAACCCAGATTGTCAGATTTTAAATATGGGAGATGAGGTCAGGAATCTGGATTTTTATATAAAAGCTCCCAATTGTAAGTGATATTATTGTAAAACACAGTGCCTGCATTGAACAACATACAGCTGTCATCTGAATGATGACATAAACTGTGAGTTTCCGGTGGATCAATCAGAAACTGCCCCATACATCCTAAGGCCACCAGCTCATTCCTTCCTTATTCATATCTTACCTGGTATCAGTGTCTTGCACAATGTAAACACTAAATAAAAATTTATTTAAACATTTTATTTTAAAAGATTAGTAAAGGCATTAGTTGATTTAATGCACCACAAATATGTCATATTTAATTATAAGATTTCCAGATGACATAAAAACTGGTAGTAATATTAAATCCTGTAAATGCCATTCTTTAATTTACTGCAAATCCTAAAGTTTTGTGATATGCTATGGACAATCTAAATTGAAAATATGCTTTTTAATAACAGATTTTTTTAATGTTTCATGTTTTTATTTAAATTCTAGTTAGTTATCATGTAGTATAATATTGGTTTCAGGACTGGAATTAGTGACTCGTCACTTACATTCAACGCCCAGCGTTCATCACAACTGCCCTCCTTCATCCCCATCACCCATCTAGCCCAGTCCTCGCCCCTCCCTTCCAGCAACCCTCAGTTTGTTCTCTCTAGTTAGGAGTCTCTTTTATGAATAACGTGGATTTAATTAAGACATTGTCACTTTTATAGTTCACTATTTGTTTAAGGAAGGCTTTTAGTCATAAAATAAATATAGTTTAACACAGTTAACTAAAAAATATAAAATATATGCCTAAAATTATAATAAGTACTATCTGTCTTACAAAAAATAGAAAATAGGGTAAAAGAGAAGCTACATTAAGGAATACTACAATAATGAAAATGCCAGATAACCAATTAGGTGTACTCAATGATTCAAACTAATGAAAAAGTATACATAAAGAAAATTAGTTGCATTGGTTGTTGGGATCACATATAATATTAAAACACAGTAAATGTGGTTATAACAGATTGTGCGACTGTCAATTTTTTAAAAATCTCTAACTTCAAAACTTTAGGTAATGTGTTAGCAGTTATTTTACAATAATAAGACACATTTGTAAACTCTGGCTGTTTTCTCTACCTTCTTAATTATGGATTGTGTGTCCTTCTAAGCCAATATGTTACCCTCAAACAATCAAGGTGTGCATTACAGAGAATTGCTTCGGTGGTAGCAAGACTGATTTATCATTAATAACGCTTGACTTCAATATGATCATTTGTTTACAATAATAACTTTAAAAAACCATATTCTTATGATAAGACATATCTTTCGTAATAAACATCTTTTTTAAAAAACAGCATTTAGCTCCCCAGAAAATATTTTGCATATATTACCTCGCTTGATTCTCAAAATGAATCTATGAGGTAGGGATTACTATTACCCCCATAATACCTATGCAGCTTCAATTCTGTGAGGTCTCAGTTTGTGAGTGGGGAAACCAGATTCAAGTCCAGAATATTGGACCCTACAAGCCCTCACACTTTTTATAAACAATAAAACATACAGATCACATTTGTACAATCAGATGTCTTTTGTAAGTGTATATACCTATATAAGCACCATACCGTTAAAAATATAGACTATTTCTGTCATCCCAGAAAGTGCTCCCATGCCTTACAGTCAAATCACATTTCTTATGGGTAATCATTGATAGAATTCCATTACCATAAATCGGTTTCGCCTGTCCTTGTATCCATAAAAATGAGCCATATGATATGTATACACACACACACACACACACACACACACATATATATATATATATATATATATATATATATATATTCTTGTCTTCCTGGCTTCTCTTGGAGTTTCTCAGATGTTATATGTATCACTTGGTTTATTGCTGATTCGTGTTCCATCTAATGAATAGACTATACAGATATCGATCTATCTATTTGCTTATTAAGGAACACTTGCATTGTTTTCAATTCTTAGTTATAAATCAAACTGTTACACACATTCTTCTAAAATATTTTTGTGGACATGTTTTCAAAAATCTGGATGAACATCCACAGAAATGCTAAATCATAGAATAGCTCTATTTTAACACTACGAGAAACTGCCAAACTGTTTTGCAAAGAAATTGTACCATTTTTACATTCCCACCAAAAGTAAGAAACCTCTGGGGCGCCTGGGTGGCTCAGTGGGTTAAAGCCTCTGCCTTTGGCTTAGGTCATGATCCCGGGGTCCTGGGATCGAGCCCCACATTGGGCTCTCTGCTCAGCAAGGCGCCTGCCTCCTCCTCTCTCTCTCTCTCTGCCTGCCTCTCTGTCTACTTGTGATCTCTGTCAAATAAATAAATAAAAATAAACTCTTAAAAAAAAAGGATGAGAATTAAAAAAAAAAAAAGTAAGAAAGTTCTAGTTGCTCCTCATTCTCACCAAAATCATATATTGACAGTCTTTTTCATTGGTCACCCTACCTGAATGAGTGATGATATCTCAATGCGTTTTTAATTTGCATTTCCCTATTGAATAATTAAATTAGCCCAGTTCCATGGATGATCTAAGCTTACTTCCCCCCAATCATTTAATGAAATATAAAGAGCAAGAATTATTTGTTAAATTCAATAAAATTTATTTCAAAAACTTATTACATGGCAAACATGAAATATAACAAGAATATATAATAAATAGCTTACAAATAAATAAAGCTTGTGAAAAGACTGCGTCTAATGATTCTTTTGGTAATAACAGTATATGATTCTTTTGACACATGAACTCTTTTTTACAATCAGTTAACAAGAGAGAAGTTTTAGGCTTTGCTTTATCTACATCTCACTTCACATAATTAAAGAAAAATATGCTGGTGGGGTGAAGCTTTTATCACTTGTTGGGGCAACTCTTTAAATTTTATCAAGTGTAGAGGCTCCTGGGTGGTGCAGTCAGTTAAGCCTCAGACACTTGATTTTGGCTCAGGTGATGATCTCAGGGTTGTGAAGTCAAGCCCTGCACTAGGCTGCTTGCTCGCACAGTCTGCCTGAGAATCTCTCTCCCTCTGCCCCTCCCCACGTGTGCTCACTCTCTCTCTCTCTCTCACTCTCTCCCTAATAAATCAGTAAGTCTTTTAAAAAGATTATCAAGTGCAATATCCAGTGAATAAAGTACATTATATTAACCTTTGGAAAGATGATGGCTAAGCAGTTTGATAGTGATTGTTTATATTAAATAAGATCACCCTCATGAATATCCATATTCTAATTTTATTTTTTAAACTTAATGAGATGACTATAGTAGTTGTATAAATATTAAATCTTAACACATGACACTAATAAAGGGAGTTCTAGCTTTATAGCATACTAGGATAGGCCCTCATCTAAACTTCAAACAGGCTCTTAGAAATCCACAGAAGTACTGAATACAAAATACAAGGAATAAAGAGAAGGAAGGCCACAGTAAGAGCACGGGGACTCTGGAGCAGTCACAGTCATGGGAGTAATAGAACATGATGGAAGTATGTGAATGGGACTCTAGGGTCTCGCTCTGGGTTCTGATTCTGTCACTGGCTTTCTGACTTTGAGGAAGGCACTCATCTCTCTGGCCTGATTTACTACGATAAGATCAAAGGGTTGGACCAAACGGCCAGTGTATTTTTCAGGCAGTTTTCAGACTGATACAATACAGAATGATCATGGGTACCCTTCATCCACTGCCCCCAATGGTAACATACTATAAAAACTCTTGTACAAATCACAGAACTAATACTGATATTAGTAATACCAAGACACAGAATAATGCCGTCACCACAAAACTACTTTTATAGCCACGCCCCCTTCCAGTCTCCCCTTACCATTTCCTTAACCCCCGAGACACACTAATCTGTTCTCCATTTCTTTAATTTTATCATTTCAAGATTATAAAAATGGAGTCTTTTTTTTTTAAGGTTTTATTATTATTTTTTTTTATCTGACAGACAAAGATCACAACTAGGCAGAGAGGCAGGCAGACGTGGGGAAGCAGACTTCCCACTGAGCAGAGAGCCCGATGCGGGGCTCGATCCCAGGACCCTGAGATCATGACCTGAGCTGAAGGCAGAGGCTTTAACCCACTGAGCCACCCAGGTGCCCCTAGAAATGGAGTCTTAGAGCATGGAAGCTTTTGGAATCGACTTTTTCACTCCATAATTATCTGGAGAGTTACCAAAGCTGTTGCATGTATTAATAGTTCATTCCTTTTTCTTGCTGAGTAGTATTCCATGGTTTGGATGTATTGGAATCTGTTTAGCCATTCACCCATTATATGAGATATTTGTAGTTTGGGGCTATTATGAATAAGCTGCTATACACATTCATTTGTAGGTTTTTGTATGAACACAAGTTTTTATTTCTCTGGGATGAAGTCCAAATAGGTCACATGATAGTTGCATGTTTAGTGTTTTACGAAACTGCCAAACTGTTCACCCCAATATTTTGTACCATTTTATATC